GACGCTTTACAACCAAAAAACAACGCATTTCAACTAAACAAATCCTTCACCTATGTGTGGAAGGTTTGTTCCCCTAAGCCGTTGATCTTTGAGTGAGTTTCGTAGCTGAAATCTAGCTTACTATCATTCGTAAGCTCAAACGCGTCCTTTGTGTAATCAGCTCAAACGCGTCCTTTGTGTGATCAGATTTACACGCCAGCAGAAGCATGTTTTATAAATCGCGCTGATTCACACTCGTTAGCCTGGTAACTTCAGTCTCCAACACAAGGTCCCCCTTTTAGCAGCATGTCGCCAGCCCCGCGGATCCTCAACTCCCCTCCACTTACATTAGCACGAAAATTTATCTGGATGTTTACACATCAATGACCCACACATCTAACCTATAAATACAAACGCAAACGCCGGTCACGTCACGTGAGACGACAACCTGGTCAAGTCCTAGAATAAACGGCTGACTCTCCGTCCCTCCGCCGACTTCATCCTTGATGAGTAGGGAATGGCATATGGCGCCGCAACACCTTCTTTCGCGTGTCTCTTTTGGAAGTTGTGGGAATATTTTTCGCGGTTAGAAATGTGTGCACAATATTTGTATAATATACTGAGAGTGCGTGTACACATTATCTACACTGAAATCTAGGAAATATCGAGGACGAGAAGCATGAAATTATTGTGTTCATATCTTCGCTTGCTTCGCCCCCCATTCACTTTAGGTGTGCAACTGTGGGCTGCGTTCCCCTGAATAGGGATAAGATGACTAAGTACTTTAAAAGTACACTTTTCCGATTTATGCTTTATCTCTCGTCAGGGGATTTGGTCAGAAATTGACGAATCAGGATGACTGCAAATCAGGCCAATGGCGTTGTGTAGAAGCGCAAAATACGAGCACAACCCTGTCAACCAAGGAAATCGATGGCACTTTAAGAGCATAGCCTAGCCAATGGGTTGGGTGCGTGGTCGATATGATGCAAACAAAATTGTCTGATTGGGTTTTCGTTGTGGAGAAAAGAGTTGAAAAACAGGAAAGCAAGACGGTGAAAGCCGTGTCGACTGACAATCATTTTTAATTACCCACAGATACAATACTATTTCATATGTAAGGTTTTGCTAAAAACCCAATCGCTTGCAAATCTTGTTAGCGTGGAGTTTTGCGGAGAATTTAGAGTCAAAAGTTCAAGGCAATCGAGGTGCCGTTGTATTAACCGAAGGTCAAGGGTGTTTAATCACCAGAAGTTCACAAAAATGTTTCGTTTGATGTGTGTGGTTGTGTGCATGGGCTGAATACCTGTGAATTGGGACCACTGGAGGGTAACGGTGATTGACAGGTACCAGCCAGCTGAAGGGAGTCATGTTTGAAGACGAATCTACGCGTGCGCCTCCGCTGTCTGTCTATTGGTTGACCTCGAGTTGAAACCCCGTGGAATGGAACAGGGCCTTCAGCGAGAGGCGTCCAACGATGACAGAGTCTGTACAACCAGAAAGTTACAATGACTCATCGTAGGCGAGTGACAGTAGTCACGCCTGTGACTCTGTAGGGGGTGCTTAAACCAGAAATACGGATGGGTCCACGTGGCCAAGCGCAACGACGACGGTGGTTCTAACGCGTGTGCGATGCGTATGGCAGTTCGTGGGTTTTTTAGTGGTTGAGACCACAGACACTAAACGAGGTTGTGATTGGATGCGTGTGCTTTTGTGAAAGTGTCATTCCTGCCCTGCCTGCGATGTTTTGTCAATTCCGAAATAAACTTCAATAAGCTTGGCGGGCTGTAGAGAAGGCAAGCATTTCAAATGTTTGTTCATGAAGGCAGTTTAACCTGTCATAACTTTCAGGCTAACGAAGTACATGATTGTTTTAACTTATGACTGAGTGAAATGCCCAGTCGCAAAGCATTATGCGTACAATCAGATCATCTTAACCTGAGGACTTATTAAACTCCATGCGCACTTAATGACTTTACAATTAACGAAACCAATCACCACATAGCTGGAATTTGTCGTTTAAAAAACGACCCTAGTTGGCACCTTTGGTCATTTCTCAATAATTGAAATTGTTCTACTCCCACTCGTTAAAAAAATGCGCACAATAATAAAAGATGATGAATTTGCTTAATTGGGAATGTAACGAGTGAATGGTTATCAACAAACATGTGAATGCACAGAACAGAACTAAACCTTCTTCTTCGTTCAACAAAGATTAGGATCGCATAAATGCCGTTTTAAGAACGATTATTGTTGTGTAACTTTTCTAAGATTAAAGCTTTCTGGTTTCTATTCATTCGTTATTTTGTGGCAAAAAACGCCGGTCAAAAAATTGGGCTAAGGACAATATTTCCCAGTCAAGTTTATCTTGCACCTCGCTAAATGTGTTTTGTCTGAGATATTAAGTTTAGAAATGATGTGTGGTGTTTAAGGGACAATAATGGTGTAGCAGGCTAAATAGTATGTTATTTTTAAATAGAAACTAATGAAAAACGACCATTTTTGGTTCGATTTGAACAAAGTCAGTATTTCTTTATTAGACTGTAGGTCCCAATCAAAAAGTAGTAATCGATTGGCCACTTCGACGTTCACTTGATTGTTTCATTCTTCGTCGAACTTCGCAACTTCAATTTCATGCTTAACACATGATCTTTGCCATCAAATCTCTAATTGTTCAGTGTGACAAGTATTAAAGCACAAGGTTCTTGTTGTACGAGTCGTATTTGTGTCGATTAAATATGTAACTATGATAAAGGGCATGCAGCCTGACCAAAATTGAAAATCCCCTCCCACTGGGTTGGAAATTCGTGCTTTATGTTTTTGTCCTTGCTATACGGACGTCCTAGCATGAACAATTAGCGTTTTTTCCTGCAATGTTAAAATAAGATTCGTCATAAACAAGAAAAGAATTTTTTTAAACCATCACTACGAAAGGCAAAATAAATCTCATTCAACTTTTGGAAGAGAATGTTTCGCATGCACTGAAAAATTAAACAATTAATTCTGACAGTCAAGAGCGAAATTAGTTTTTTTTTTTAAATTTTTGACTAAACACTTCGCAACACTTGCAATAATCCAAAAAACTAACTTTCACTCTCAGTAAATTTTAACTTTTCGGTAGTTTAGCGCCTTGCGTTCAAAGAAATTAAAGTCCCCATGTGCAATAAATTCACTAACATTTATTTGAAACATTAGTAAATTAAAACATAACTGTAAACATCGGGACTTTCATACGTGAAACGGGTTTCGAAAGTAGGGAAGCACAGACAACTTATTAAAGTAAACAGAGGCACCGCGCTACAACAACTAGCAGCATTTAACATAAATTACTCATTGACAGCATCATCCTTTGTACAAGTGAATAACCGTAAGTTACTTATAAATGTGGTGCATCCTTTTTGTTCACCTGTCACTAAGTGTTCTAGTTTTAACAACAGCGACCAAAATAGCAATGGATTAGGTCTGTGGGATCCAAAGGTGACGAAGCTACAAATATTGAGATATCCCTTTGTGGTTATCATTGGTTTTAAGAAAAGCTGCCCCAAGTTGCAACAGGTAGGAAGTCGACCTAGAAACAGCTGTTTAGCAAAGGATAAACAAAGTATATACATGCCAATGAATAGGAAGAGTTAAGAAGAAGAGGTAGGAAATAAATAATAGGATAAATTACGATGGCGGCAAAAAAGACAATATACCTGTACTACAAAAGGCCTGATATTAAATGAGAGAATTAAATTTTTTTCCTCACAGATTCAGCAGAATGGCTAATGAATATGGAGTAATTCTGTCAAATCATCAATGGCTGATAGTTCAAAGCTAATCAACATGGAACTAGAAGGGCATTCATTACAACAGTTAAAGCTTGGATGAGTTGGATTCAACCCTACTGTCGCAAACAGGGCAGAAGTGGAGGTATCTAGGAAGGCGTCTTAATTAAAACCTTAGGCTTATACTCTCACACATTACAAACGTTGAAAATCGGCGCAATGAACCAGTCCCGATACCATAATTTTACGGAGCTGTGTTTGAGTTACCAGTAAATCTCATTTTTAAGATGAAAGTTGAAAAGGCGGCAATGTCATACATAGACTGCTGGCGGATAATCCCGGTTCTACAATAATTAACTTCATAGCCAATATTGTGATTATAATCAGAATGCACGTTTTACACTACCAATGAGGTAGGAGTTTGTACAAGCACCACGGGTAATTTATATTTAATCAGCATCGGCTGCATCAAATCTAACGTCCAATTATTTACTCGTAGTCAAACATGATGATTAAGCAAATTATCTACTATTAGACCGAAACGCTGACAAAATACACACTCTTTAATTTTAGAAACAAAATGACTAGGGAGATTTATCAAAATCAGAGTAATATTTGATCTTTAAATGAAGGATAATCTGAATAGGCACAACTTTTTTATGAATAAAGAAACAAACCACTAAAACAGGCAGAAAAATTGCGGGTGCCTTAAAGGCAAATAAATTTTTCATTGGCACGTACTTTGCTGTTGACGAAATCTCGTAAATTCACTATTTAACGGAGTACAATTCCACTTTCACATGCCTTCTATTTTGTACATATCAAAATTACGGGGTTATTTCAAATGTGTAATTGATTAAAACTTTTATAATGTGTCATTAAATTTTTATCGTATTACTATAACGATAAAAATCAGTTTGAAGTAGTTGTTTTAACAATAAAGTAAGCAATATAAAAATGGTGCCAACAGTAGGAAGTGCTATTTCGGCTGAGATTTGCAAACAGCCAATGAAAAATTTCGGGAAAATAATGACTGTTTAGATCAAAAAGTATCCTCATATACCTATTATATTTTGTCAAATTTTTAAATTCACAATTAATGGTATAAATATATTTCTTTACATGTCCTTTAACATCGAATTTTTAAATTATATTCGAAATAAAAATTTGGCCCTGCTTTAGGCACTAACCAATACCAAATAAGCATTCGTGGCTGCTAGTAGCCGATACATCGCCGTCGTCTTACTCGTATTCAACATGGCCTGCCGGGGAATGTTCGCTCTTTCAAGGTTCCTTAATGTATCTTTGAAACCGGCCCCATTTGCGAAAATAATGGCTTCAAATGCCTTTGCAAGCAAAAGTAACTTCTTACTTTGGAAATTTTTTATCGTACATAGGGTGGTTTGCAACTGATGTGAAGCCTGCCGCCTCTGCTAGCGCTAAAGGACGTATTGTCGCTGTTATTGGAGCCGTTGTCGATGTTCAATTCGACGACAAACTCCCACCTATTTTGAATGCCTTGGAAGTGCAGGGACGTTCTTCGCGTCTTATCCTTGAAGTCGCTCAGCACCTTGGTGAGAGCACTGTCCGTACTATCGCTATGGATGGTACTGAGGGCCTGGTTCGCGGCCAGGAGTGTATCGACACTGGAGCCCCCATTACAATCCCTGTTGGCCCCGAAACCCTGGGACGTATCATGAATGTCATCGGTGAAGCAATTGACGAACGTGGGCCCATTAAGTCAAAGATGTCGCTGCCCATTCACCAAGATGCTCCCGAATTCGTCGAAATGAGCACTAGCCAGGAAATTTTGGAGACTGGAATTAAAGTTGTTGACTTGTTAGCTCCCTACGCTAGGGGTGGGAAGATTGGCTTGTTCGGTGGTGCTGGTGTCGGCAAAACTGTCATCATTATGGAGCTTATTAACAACATTGCTCGGGCGCATGGTGGTTATTCTGTATTTGCCGGTGTTGGGGAGCGAACGCGAGAGGGCAATGATCTCTACCATGAAATGATAACCACTGGTGTCATTGACCTTAAGGGCAACAATTCGAAGGTTTGGTTTTTATTAAATGTTCTAGCTTTTTACTAGGTCGCTCTTGTCTACGGTCAAATGAACGAGCCCCCGGGTGCCCGAGCACGTGTCGCTCTGTCCGGCCTTACCGTTGCCGAGTATTTCCGTGACCACGAAGGCCAGGATGTGCTTTTGTTCATTGATAACATTTTCCGTTTCACTCAAGCCGGTTCCGAAGTGTCTGCACTGCTTGGTCGTATTCCTAGTGCTGTTGGTTATCAACCCACTCTGGCAACTGAAATGGGTTCTATGCAGGAGCGTATTACCACTACAAAAAAGGGATCCATTACGTCTGTGCAGGCAATTTACGTTCCTGCCGATGATTTGACTGATCCTGCTCCGGCAACCACGTTCGCTCACTTGGATGCCACCACTGTGTTGAGCCGTGGTATTGCCGGTCTTGGTATTTATCCTGCTGTCGATCCCTTGGACTCTGTCAGCCGTATTCTGGATCCGAACATCGTTGGTGAAGAGCATTATACTGTCGCGCGTGGTGTGCAGAAGGTTCTACAGGTATGTTCGTTATTGAAGCCAGTATAGTATTTTCTTCAGGATTACCGCTCTCTCCAAGATATCATCGCTATTTTGGGTATGGATGAATTGTCTGAGGAGGACAAGTTGACAGTTGCTCGTGCTCGAAAGATTCAGAAGTTCCTCTCTCAGCCCTTCCAGGTGGCAGAGGTCTTCACTGGCATGGAGGGCAAGCTGGTTAGCTTGCAAGATACCATTAAAAGCTTCAAGAAGATTCTTTCCGGTGAAATGGATCAATATCCCGAAGCGGCTTTCTACATGGTTGGTGGAATCGACGACGTCGTTGTGAAGGCAAAGAAACTCGCCGCTGAGCACTCGTAGATGTTAGTTCATGTGTGATACGCTCCAATTAGTCGAGTTTGTAAATTTCTTACATTGATCTAAAAAAAAATAGCATTTTATTCTACTGTCTTGAAATATGTGCTTGCTGATAACCAAGTTTATCTCTACTTTGGTATTTTTGACTTGCTTTTCCGCTCTTTCTAATCGAATGCTTTAAGCTATTAGGCGCGGAAATTTTGCTTTTCTTAGAACTGGTGCTTAGGCCACAACTCCATCTGCTCGTTTTGCCGGCATACTTGGTTTTTGGTCGAGATAGTGTTGGCTCGCACTTGAACTTTAGTGCTGGTTTAGTCTAGATTAATTACCAGATGTATATTGCGAGTTGTTTTAACGATTCTCAGGCTATCTGTGCACTTGCTTTGTGCAGTTCAATTTGCACACAGATTAGATCAAGTGGCGTCGGTGCCATCCCTGACAATCTTCGTCGAGGATTGCGGGGTCTCAAGTATAAAAGGAATGGCAGGCAATATGTGCTTTGTGGATCCTGGGCGAATTGATGTTTCCGGAAGTTTCCCCCCCCCCGTAATTTTGACGAAAGAGCTTAATTGCGAATATTACGTTTGTGTTTTTTTGGATAGCATATTTAGCGGTCTCGTCAGCAGAGGCTCGAGAGTAATGCGCTTAGTCTGTGCAATCCGCGTCCCTGTTCTTGTCTATGAACGTAATGTGGTAGAGGTTGGATCTTATGTTTCTCCGACTTAACATGCTATACCAGTGCTGCTATCTTGCACGGTAACATCGCGCCTCGCTTATAGCCTTTGTAGAAATCAATCAATGTGTGCGCGCATATTCACAATATTCGTGTGACCAGTGCTAGTGCTTTGGCTCTGGTGATATTATGCATTATTGGCACTTCTGCGCGCCGTTATGCTGTAGCAAATTGACAAGCACTTTCGTCGAAAATTATGTCGATACTTATTCACTGCATGCGTCTTTCGCCCGGCTTTTTTGAAGGCTTGCTTACTAAGGATTCTCTTTAGTCGCGCAAAATGAACTATATTGGTGAGAAGGCATTTACCCGCTCTAGTTCGGGTTCCCAGGACTTGCAAGTGCGTGTCATTTGAAAGGGTCTACTAAGAGTGGAGTTGCAGGCATTTCTTCGGATTTCAGCCTGGTATTAATTGCTGCTAAAGCGCTGTTCAGGTTCGTTTACATTCTGTTCAAAGTGTTGATACCTCTGTCGCCAAACTTAAAGGCTTCGGAGATCGACATGTGCGAGGTCATGACAGCTTTTTGAAAGCGGATTAGAGCGTGAAATGAGCTTATTTTTCTGGTAAATACAAGGACATTAGAAGGAATTTGACCTCTGATCATCTCAAATACTGTACGCCTGACCCACTTGGCAGGTGCTCAATCGTTTACTGCGTTGAAAAGCGCAGCATTTGTGTGTGACGCCAATTTAAATAGGAACGCATAATTTTCGATCCCTAAACGACTGCCGCTACGAGATGTGTACTATGAATTAAAATGACCAGTTCCCGCTCTCTAATACGTGGAAAGAATGGACTCGTGCTGATCGCCGCAGTTCTCTTTGGTGAATGAATTGGCCGTGCACCTTTGTCCAATCCGGTAACTGGGGCGTCTCTCTGCACGGTCAAAATTATCGACTGTTTAAGCTTGTTTCCGGTCAGGCAAATCTGTCTGACGTCGCGTGTAGCGGTAACTGAATATCTGTTGTCGGCAGTAGAGGGTGTTGGCTGTGACGGGTCTTTTTTTGGGATACCGGCTTCGTGTCCAGGAAAGACGGCTCGAAATAATCAGTAGAAGTGGTGTATTCTTTGCGTTCGAAAATGAAGATCCTGGCTTCTTGTCTGGGTACAACATTGTGGGTGGATTGAAGCGATTGACGGGTGGCATCGTGCATGAAGAGAGCGTTTTCAGAGTGTACGATGATATTTGCTCTTTGGCGCATGAAATTGATCGACGCAGTTGTGTGTGGGTCGTAGCGGAGTAAAATTTCCTGGGTAGCTTCAGTGTTGTTTCGAAAACCAAACGTGCAGCCAATACCTTCGTTTATGGCTGACTTGAGCTAAATTAGAACGAGGAGTAACGTGGTCGTCTAACGAGAGGGTTCACTGAGTCGTTAGTGCGGTCTTCAGTTGCCGGTGAAGGCATTCTGCCATGAAGGCGGTTCGTTCCGGTAAACCAATCAAGATTTCGAAGCAGTCTTGGTTCGAACGGTGTAGTAGTGGATCGGTATCTGCCCCACGACCCAAAATCGATTGAAATATTGCAGGCAATGGTGCGTCTAGGGAGAAGAACATGAATTTGCAATGAAGCCAAATTTTTATTTTCTCAATTCTTGCGTTTCTTTATCGGGTTACTAAGCGATCGTTACCCCCTCAGATTTCATCCTTTGAGTCGGATTAAAAAGGGTCTGAAATCTTTGACAGTTAGTTTGATTCAGCTTCCACTGGTGTCCTTGTAACTAGACTAACTGCTAATTTGTCGCCAAGGTTGTGTTGGGATCATGCAGTCTCCGATTTTAGAGGTTGACTCGGAATCCAAAGTTATTGGACAAGTCCGCGACAATAACTGGGGGAGTCATTGATCCAAGTGTGAGGATAGATGAAATCCGCATACTGAGGTGCTTGAGCAGTTTACCCTTGAAGATGCTTAAAAGTGGTTGGGGTTGATCGCATACCAGTCGATGTGTCATGCCGAAATCAGCTTTGGCTTGATTGGCTGAGGCTCACTCTCATATCAGATGCCCATGTTTCCTGACCACTAAGTCCAAGAATGAAGTTAATGAGTGGTCGGTAACCGATGACCCAGAGTTACACTCACGACGGTTTAAATGGCACCAGAGAAAAGCAACGTGAAGAGGATGTTGTGATGTGGATTTGAGCGCTGTTGGTCAGGTGGATGATCGTGCATCCTATGATTCGAAAATCTGGGCAAAAACGCGGTATCAACGATTGACAATTGTTGATACAAAGACCTTTCCATTTAGTCAACAAGTTTGTGCCTATTTGCTCTTGAAACAGCATCCAGCAGCTGATTGTGCTCTGGGTGTATGTTGGGGGGCTTCGTCGCTACATCTAGAAGATACGCAATATCTACGAATTGGGACTGTTGTAATTAACGAGTGCACATGTTGGGGTCGCCAATTTGTAGTGACGATGTGCAACAGAGAGGACCTAAGGAATAGATGTGATGGTAAAAGGGAAGGGTTCATTTTGTTTATGCACAACGGAAGAAATCTATGGTTTAGTGAAACGAGGTCCTATTGCTTAGCGTGGCCAGCAACCCCCTGAACGTACGTCAGTACGGGACATAAATTCAGAATTTAAAATATTTGAAAACAAGTTAGGTTATGGTTTGTAAGAATGTTCCCATACAAATCACATAAAATTCATTCACCCTCCTCATTCTAGACTAGTAATTTCTGTAATAACCGGCTTTTACATTAAACATAGGCTATAATACCACCTAAATTATCCTTGTCGCCTATCAGAAACCACGTAACTAATCTCAAAATATGCTCTAAGTGTCGTAGTTGATATTTTATTGCGCCGACTTAACATAGTCTAATGGAAACGCATTTGGACTTCAGAGCACACATAATAAATTCTTGGAAAAAACATTGGATTATTTTGATTACAGTGAAATGTTTGTTGCAAAATGCACCCTTTTTAAAATTTAATACACCTCTTCATGACAGCGTATCCAATTCAGTCACATTGATGATTGATTTACAATATCCGAGTCTTAAAAAGTAAAAAACCATCTTTTTATACAGAAGATTATTTATTTTGACGAGTTGCTGACATAAAATGGCTTTCGGTTTCCACTTTAACGTTTCATTGACCATAACAAAACAGTCGATTCGACCTCGACTCTGAGGTATTATCGGTCTGCTGTGCCTTCAACAACTCAATAGGAATATACAGTTTGCAAAATGATCGTTATTTTTAGGAGATAAAAATCAAATTTCTTCATGCTGCGCAAAATGGGATTCTCTACTCAATGCGGAGATACTCAATACCGATAATGTGCCAATGCGGCGTCGGTAAGAAAACGTGTGTGTGTGTGTGTCTGTGTATGTGTGCGTGTTTGTGTGTGTGTGCGTGCGTGCCTAAGCAGATTTGCTTATCAAACTCCATAAATTGGTCCAACTGATTAATTAAATAACATAGAAAATTAAGCTAAATTCGATTTTTGACTATCGAATGACAATGTAATCCTAAAATCGTGGATTTCTGTGAAATGGCATAATTCTGATCCAAAAAATTAAGACATTTGTCTCACTACCTTTCCACTAAACTTTCGAAATTTCGGCATAGACAACTTTGTTGAGTCATTCCTTTCAACATATTGGAATTTGCTACTCAATGTGGAGAGCATTAATTCCGTTTAGACTAATGTGGAGCCAGCAGGAAAACGCAGACTTATATGCATGTGTCCTAGCAAATGAGTATATGGAACTCTATATATTTGCCACATTGCGATGCGTAATAATATGGAAAATTATGATAATTTCGATTGCTGATTAAAAATATTACCTCATAAGGGATATCATTCTGATCCGAAAAAATTTCTGCAGTCAACGCGCCATCCTTTTGCTCAACTTTCAAAAGTACAGCATGGATTTCATTTTTAAGGAATTACTTTAAACGTATTTGCGTAATAAGTCCAATACGAAGGTAATACGAAAGAATTTGCGATTTATTTGGTTGTGAGTTCAATGTATCGAATAATATCCAAAATATCACAATAAACATGGGCCAATCTATCCTTCGGAGATGTTACATTTCAATTAAATATCACTATGATGGTAGATGGTTTATGAAAAAATTTGCTCTGCTTAGATTATTTATATTTCAATTTTTTGGCTCTCCTGTTCCTATTTTGCTGACAGTGCTTTTCCTACACCTCGTAACTATATTTGTTACCAACATATATCACAGAAACAGTTTATTCCTTTAAACGCTTCGAAGATCTAGTTGACCTTGACATCGCACTCAAAACGCAAGATGCGGTGATGGCATTCTTATTGATTTGTATTATCCCCATAAACCTTTAGATTCTAAACAAACCTAAAATGTGTTTTAGTTCTTATAATTCCATGCTCAAATATTGTATTTCGACATTGCTATTTCTTTTGTTCGTTTCCCCTAGTTAGTTTTAGACTTCATTTGGTAGTGAAAATTTTCATTCGGTGCATAACGTTTTATATGTTAAACTAAAGATTGTTTTAAGTTAAAAATATTGTGAGCGTGTCAAATACTAATATGAAGCATTATTGAAACGGTGGCTAAATCGGATTCATAATAATTTTTCATGTCGCACACACGCCCTTTTAGAGTGGTACACGTGCAATGGCATTTTAGCAGCATTTCACACATTCATTGAAAAAATATATATAAAGCTCGAAATAAAATAACTCAGTCTAATCTTCTATCTATACAATAGCTTGCGAACATCATGAAAACTTCAAAAGCAGGTTTGTAGAAACATTAAAATTCGGAATTTTTTCTAGACAGTTTTAAGTGACAAGAAAGCTATGGTTAATTCTAATTAAGTTTGGATTTATTAAAAATAAACGATTGCTTAAGTGCTCCCTAGGCATTCAGCACACCGACCTATTTGACAAATTAAAATTGACACATGTGTTAGAGTGTTGCGAGCGAATGCTGAAATGTTTCATTTTCGTAGTAAGCGTGTTTTCGTTTTTTAGTGTATATTAATATCCCTTCGGTTAGCGATGAGTTACGTAACAAATATTGGTTCATTGTTTTCAGTGTTGGATGCTGACAAATTTATTTCTGATCTCATTTTGCTTGCCACTGATCGTCAAGGCCAAATCTGACAATCGACTACTGGACATAACAGATGTTGATAGCTACGTGGATATCTGTCAAGAATCGGAGCACCGAAAAGAACGCCCGACCCCAGAATACGGTCTGACTTCGTGCACAGCATGGAAAGAAAACTCTTGCTGTACTGCGGCCACAGCGACTATGATACTTAGTAACAACATGCATGGCTTTAACTACCATGTGTGTGGCAATTTGAGCAAAGCCTGTCATGATTTCTTCAATGATGAGCACTGCTTTGTCAAATGCTCTCCAAACCTCGGCCCATGGTTGGTTAAGGTGGGATATACAAATTTGTTTTACTATGCTGCATTGTCAAATTTAGTTCCCTGCATCAGTGTTAGTTTTGCTCTAGCTTTCTAGTTCAAGATTCAAAGAGCGTGCCTTCAGAGTGCCTCTATGTGAATCAGATTGCAAGAGTTGGTATGACGCTTGCAAAGATGACCTCACCTGTGCTATGAACTGGCGTTCTGGTGGTTTCGATTGGGGATCAGGTAGGTAATTCATCTATATCGGGTCATCATTTTCATTTCTTTGTGTTCGCTATGCCTGTTTTACTCTTGAAGCTGTTAAACGTTGACTTGCTGGATCGTGGGCAGTGTAGATCTACCTAGGCACCAGAGGATAATGCTAACATCACTCATGATGATTTGCTTAGCTACAATGCACCGAAAAAAAGGAAGATGGCTGATGAAAAATGCAGCTCGAGACGGTATTGTGGTGACGGATTATAGTCATTGTTTGTGTCAAGACGTCACATAAACATATAGGCAACGTCAAGACTGGTTTCGTTAACATCTACTAGTGTCTGGTGGTAACTGTCGTGATAAATCGTGTAAACCGTTCAAGAAAACACATTCGAACGAAGCTGCAGATTGTCACAGAAAATCTATATTGAAAACGTTCATTAAAAGAAGGCTGTGATCTTGTTTTTTTATAGTGGCGTAAATTTGTCCTTTGAACTGGAACACACAATGTGTCAGATGATTTGTATTAATTCGGAGGCCCAAAAACAATGTAGAACCATTTCATGCATAAAACGCGTCAAGGAACATGACATCAGTAACATATTTTGACGCATCACCTTAATTTAATAACACTTAGGTCCTGTCTAAAATCGAAGACCAGACTCGATGAAGTTAATCGAAGTTACGTGTTTTGTGTTTGCATAGGTGGGAATGCTAGTAGATAGTTGGTGGCCGAATATGACGTCATTCGTTTATGTATTCAGTGTGCAAGTCGCACTGACGACTGTGTTGGTTTGGTAGCTGCTAAAACCATTTTAGTAATTGATTGATTCTTGATTTGAATGCAATTGGAATCAATGCGGCAGATTTGGCACCTTGATATGAACCCACTTTGACTTATTGTCCATTCATTCACATTGCGTTACTGTGGGTGCATCTGAGCAAACAGGTATGGTGGAACATGTTTTTGTCCAATCAAAAATACTTAGTCACGACATTGCACATAAGTCAGTCGTACATGTGGTGAATAGGCAAAAGTCATTAAGATTTCCGTGTTTCAACAAAGGAAATCTGTGGTGTGGTGGTTAATAGTGGGGTCCACTCAGGTAGCTGACACGCAGTCAACAGCCAGTCGGGTTTTGCCTAATCCGAGTTCATTTTTAATTGAATCTCACCTCTGATTGAGTCGAGATCAAGCTTAAGGCGGTTTGTTTCCCATACGTATAAGCTATAGACAGGAATTTAGGGAAATATTTTCAATCAAAGATGATAGTAAGGTGACAAGGGTGGCGCTTCACACAGCTATGCAGTGACGTCTATTTGTCATGACAAGCATCGAATGACCTAAAGCAATTCCAACTAGGGCATATAAGCACAGAAAATGTGCGACGCCGTGTTTGGAAAGGAGTGCCCGTCAACTGACTGACATTCTGAGGTTGTTCTTCTTACTCTCCCTGACAGTGTGAAAACGCGTGCCGTAAGGGCTTCCACTGTCTGAAGATCTCCGAGATCTACCGTTCCGCGGTGTCGTTTTGCGAGCGCGTGTGGGACCACGCGTACACCGTGGTGCCAGACACACCCGTGGGCAACTGGACCTCGAAAGAACCACACTGCATGCACATTCCACGTGAAGGCGCCCCCAACGCCAGCGAACTCGTCGCGCACAATCATCGCATAGCACGCGTCGAGGCAGCGCACATTCTGAAACGCGTCTTTGGTGGTGGTTATGGTGGTGGCGGCGGTGGTGGTGTAGGCGGAAGCACCCTAGCCATGTTCTCGATGAACCTCATAACTGCGCTTTTATACATTGTACTCGTGTGATTTTGATTTCCGTATATTGGCAGACCTTTTTAACCCGTATTCTACTTAACTCTCAAAGTAAAATGAGGGTGCTAAGTAAAAGTAGAAGGTAAATTTATTAAATGACAAAGAACCACACACACGCACACACATCAAATAAATGATAAAGGGTCAGAATTTATGCGTTTTCAAGGAGATGATGGAAACAGCAGGTGCGCACACACAGCCTTGCGATTGCTTCTACGGAGCGAGGTCTATTTCGATGAGGCTGGCGGTTTTTACCTCGTCCGCGAACCGAGGAGCATCAGCTTCGAAGGCCGACTGGCCGGCCCTGTTGGGCTCCGCGTGCTGACTGCGGAGGGAGGTTGTCGAGGGGGCTGGCGACGGGTTGAAAAGAGGCGTTTGCCACGGCAGATCTAGAAAGATGTCATGGTGACTTGAAATGCCGCGCCCAATGATTTCAGACGAATCCTAGAGCTACCATTCAACGATTGGGTTAGAGGTCAAGATATGTGTTTTGTTGACAGCTGAAAGAGCACGCGCTTGTGACCGGATCATGTGATGTAAACTGGCTGGTTTCGATGAGTGTGGATATGATGTTTCATGAGGTAGATTAAAGACACCGTCTTCAATTTAATTCAAATCTGCTTGCATGAGACGTTATCTGAGGTACCACAGTTTTAGGGAGATGTTGGGAGCTTTGAGCCCACAAATAACACACAGCTAGCGCCTGTCATTGGTTGTGCTGAGTGTGTACTAAGGAGATGGTGTATCAGAAAATTGATTTCATATAAAAAATAGAGAACACCGAACTCAATCTTGAAAACACTGTTCATCGTTCCCTACGACCTTGTGCAATCTCGGCGGTAACGCATAAATGCCGTAGCGAAAGAACCTTGCTCGCTTCGAGGCAATCAAATCACCGAGGAATTTACGCCGGCACCAAGAACACTGCAAGTTAATTCGCATGGCTTAGAAGCATTTTTACCTGTTGGAATTCGCACCAAATATTATGTGGTTAGAATTAACACCCATGGCTTAATAATTAAGAGTTTGGCTTCAAACCAGACAACGTCTGAGCCAGAGAGCACTCGTAGACCAAACCTAGACTGCCTTTCCAGCACGTGGACCGCCAACTCACAGTGCTGCGGGTGGTTGTGAGGGAGTCCGCTGGGGGTCTGGCCGAAGACGGGTATGGAGGCGGAGTGCTGGAGGCCGGTCGGTGTGGTGGCGCCCACCAATTCGCCACGCGGCGAGGCCCTCCGGGTAAGGGTGCCGGTCCCTCTCAGTCCGGCGACCGTCAGCGCGTTCTGATTGGACGTTGAGGGGTGTTCGTGGGGTGCCGCCACGCCCGTCGGCATGGAGGCGGCCGCGTTGGTGAAGATTTGATTGAGCATGAAGAGCACACAGTCCTGCGAGTCCCAGTAGACGGCGTGACTCGACAGCGCGAACAGATAGTCGTTGAGGCTTTCCAAAGGTCCCTCCTAGAAGCATTCCAGAAACACAGGATGAAGAAGCAAGTCAAAGAGGCGAACATGGCATGGTTTACAGATTCTGAACTGCCTTGCAGTTGGTTTTATCCAATGAGCCCTCTCAGGTTGTTTTACTACGCCGGTTTGTTAGTTAAGCGCCACTTTGAATGTGTCCGCCCAGTGGATAGAAACCCATGTGTTGCTGATTCAAAACGTCACACTACTAACGGCATTTGATGCTGCACGCGTATTGTTTATCGTAAAAATTTTTTTGAGCAAAAGATAAAGAGCGTGGTGGGGGTGAAGGAGGGCCAGGAGTGACGATGCAATGAAACACGAGACTAGCCTGCAGAACGTAGTCGATTCGTCGGCCCTGGTTAAGTTGGCTGGGGAAGGCAGTGGAGTCGGTGGTTTCATCGTCGTCGTCGTCGTTGTCCTCGTCGCCGTCTTCGCCGTCATCGTTTTCGTTGCAACCGCCCTTCGATCTCGACTCACCGCCAACACCATCCGACAGCCGAGAGAGGACCTGCTTGATGGCATCCGACTCGTCCGTAGCCGACGCCTCCGTCTCCACGGGACTAATCGACAAAAAGAGGAAACCGTCGTTACCTGCTCTGGCAACTGTCTAGACACTCGCGTGCCTCCGTCACTCATCCAAAACACCAACAGACTTGGGGAATTCGCGTCGAGTTGAGTTTCTAACTTGGCACTGACGCAGCCTGCCTACCAAACGTGCGACTGTGCGCTGTGCCAGACGTGTTCAATGACTGAGGTCGGCTATGCAACAGCGTGACTACATTTGCCAACATGAAAACATGAGCACATGACTGCAAAAGGCATGGTGAGATGCATTCCGGTGGAGTTCGCAAACGCGATAAATACATCAACCTTGAAAAAAATGTCGAGAAACCAAAAACAGCTTGTTTTGAAGGGCACATGGATAATTGTGGGGGCGGATGTGCACACGATTCCTATTGGCTGAAATGCTTCACAGAGGAAAAAAACACCCAAGAAATCGATAATCACACATTTTGCGCTAGCTCATTCACTGTTTCTGTTTGGGTGAGGGTGACCTCCGTGGAGATGAGTCCACCTCTGAAATGGATTGTCAGAACCACAGGTCACTTTGTCAGAGAAGATAGAGAGGGTAGGGGAGGTGGGGAGGGAGGGGTAGAGCTTACGCGGTGTGGGCGGACGCGAATTCCTGGAGGGTGCGCCAAGTCGACCGCAGCGACTGGTAGACGCGAGACGTGATGTCGGCACTGACACGTGCTATGTTGTCCTTCAGCTCCAGATGAATGCGCTTACGACCCTTGTGGTGCGGCATCAGAACGGCGCAGTGCTACAAGGTGCAAGAGGGGAGGACGCTGCTGATTCACTTTCATCCACCCATTTCACTCGTCTCACCATTCAGACATGCGTACTCTTTTTTTACTAGTACACCCAGCAATCGTGGCAGAGGGTAACAAGCCACCGAAAGTGCAAGAACACGCAGAACAAAGCAGACAAAAAAGCTTTAAAGGCGTCTCCCAATTGGGTCTGACCTAGCTAGATTGCCTCGAAGGGAGTACACACTGCGTCAACTTATGTTGCTGTGTGTTGGGGATCCACGATTCCCCAAGATTGCTTTTGGCACTATTTACACTAATTCCCCAACATGTGTTTTACTACGCTTTTTGTCAGGTCAAGGTCAACCCTGACTTGAATTAGTGTACACTTTTGACAACTCACTCGCACGTGGCTGACGTGATTAAAGCTTCCTACACGAGCTCTGGTCTTGTTCTTGTGCTAGCGTGGGAAGGTCGGCTCTAGCGTCAACAAGGGATCTGGTCCCGTTATTTTAGGGGTTTTCTCTTTGTTACGGGCAAACGTAACACTGCGTGATTCGCCTCAACAATCGGTAATCCGCGGTAATCCCTTCAAAAGCTGTCTTGCTATTGATTTTGTGATTGCGGGTAGATTCAAGTAGGCACGCGTGAAATACCCACAAATTAACCAAAGGGAAGGGGTGTCAAGTGGGTGGTCTTGAGAGCCGGAGGCTACGGCCAGCCAGAGCGATCCTTTAAAACACACCACGACACAGAAGCAGCATCTCTGTCAGTCGCCAGCCTCTTTGTTTCCTACTTTAATGTGTCCCAAGCTTAAATGTCAATGTCACCATGTACTCGTGTGTGTGCGGGCACATCGGGGTTAATTGGCGAAGCGATGGATCACACGATTTGATCGTCGGTCGCACAAAAACGGGGATCTCGACTAGGTTCGTGTGTGTGTGTGTGTGTGCACATCCAACACAAGAGCACAACCAGACGTAGTGTTCAGCATGCATGACGCGCCAGTTTCGGTGACATATATCATGGGTGAGTGGAGTTGCCAACTGAGGAGGAGTTTATCATCTGAACCGCTGTTTTGGCGCGGTAACATTTCAGCCGTATTTTTTGGCTCAACGCACACGTGCCAACGACTCTGAGTATGCTTGTTTGTGTGTGTGTGTACGTGTGTGCGTGAGTGGGTGCGGTGATCAGGCGTTCCAAAGCACCTGTGCCTCACAAGGAGACACAAACACCGACAAATTGAGACCTTCTGAGTAGACAAACTGCTGTATTTCAGTTTAAATTGTTGAACCTGATGACGACGATGACAACGCAACCTCCGCATTACGCACAGATCTTGTTGTTAAATGGCCTTCACTCTGGAAGAATCAGACACGGAGAGAGAGGGAGAGGCATGAAAAAACCCAAATATGCCTTCTGCAGAGACAAATCTACTGTGGCGACGTCTGAGGGCGCCGACATATTGGACTACGCTGGCCTCAGCCAATCCTGTGTCTCTCTGTCTTCCAATGGCATGTGAGGAAGATAAGCAGGCAACCAGAGAAAGACACGAATGAGGTGCAGTATATAATGAGCGGCGTGGCCAGCATGGTGGACTCGATGAACGGCGCCTGACGTGTGGTTCTGGCTTGTGATTGGTCAATAAGGACTGTTCTGTTGTACCAGTCTCCTTCAAACTAGGGCTCTGGTATTCTACACTACCACCCCATCCGTAATAGCCTATGCAACCACCGATCGCGACGAATACGCATAAACAGATAACAGTCCCAAATTCCTGGTTGGGTCTTAAAAGGCAAGTTTTCATTGGTCAGGTCGAAATTTGACAAAATTCGAGTTTTGATTGGTCGAAATGCGGGATTAGCTCAGGGTTAGGTCAAATGCCCGGAAAGGATACCTATGCCGCCAAGTCAGATGAATAATAGTCGCCAGTAGCAACTGAAGATTGTGTGTGTGTGTGTGGGGGGGGGGTGGGGACGTCCTAAGATGTGCAAAGGTCAACAGATAGGAAGCCCAAAGACTAATAACACCATGAACCCTCCTTGCGATAATCTTTTTTTTGGATCCTTTGAAGCAAACAAATTTGAATTTTGAGCAACCCATCAACTAGTGGATGAGCTGGAAGCAAATGAAATGACACAACAACCAGGATTCTATGGGGCTTAGACCTGACCAGAAACTGGACGTACTTTCTGATTCCTCTTTGCGACCGTCAAGTTAT